TACCAAAATATACAAAAAAAAAAAAAAACCTAGGAATTAATTTAACCAAAGAAGTGAAGGACTTATGCAATACAAATGACAAGACACTGGTAGAGGAATTAAATAATAACAGCTAAATGAAATGACAATTCATGCTTTTTGATAGGGAGAATCAAAATTAAAAAATGACCTGTCAAAAGCAATATATAAATACAATATAATCCCTATGAAAATACCAACAATATTCTTTGAAAATATTGAACAAATTTTTTTTTTAATTTGTGGAACCATGACTTAAATAGCAAAAGCAATTCTGAGGATAAAGGAAACAGCAGCATCATGTTACCTGACTATAAATAACTGTTATCATAAAGTAACAATTATTATTATTAAAGCAATATGGTACTGACATAAAACTGACATACAGATCAGTGGAACAGAATTAAAAACCCAGCAATAAATGAATGTATATATCAATATTTGATTCATGATACAGAGCTACAACCATCAACGGGTAAAGGAGGGTCTCTTTAAAAAGTACTGAGAAAAACTGGCTAGCCACATGTGAAAGAATGAAGTTGGATCATTCTCTAACTTAACAGTCAAAATTAAATTAAAAGTAATTTAAATACGGCCCTCCCTGGTGGCGCAGCGGGTTAAAGCACAGCACTGAGAATCTAAAGCCACTTCCTCATGAGTTCGATTCCCGCCTGCCCCGGAGGTGACCACATGGCGTGGCAGACCTCTCACGACCCGCCCGCTGCTCCCCTTAGCAGTGTATTTCATTGATCTGCCTGTTCTGCACTCCACTCTGTCTCTGGTGAATTCTCTCACCCTCCACATCTCTGGCCTGTATCCCAGTTCTGTATGCACAAATAAAATAAAATCTTAAAAAAAAATAATTTAAATACTTAGCTATAGGCCCTAAAACAATAAAACATATCAAAGATAACATTGGCAATAGATTTCATAAAATCAATGATAAAGATGGTTTTGGAGATTTGAACCCTATGACAAAAGAAATTTAAGCAAAAGTAATTGGAATCATCTCAACTTAAAAAAGTTTTCACAGTGAAAGAAAATAGATTGAAAAGAGAACTCACTGCATAAGAGTAAATATTTACACATTACACAACTGACAAAGGGTTAACTGCAAAGATATAAAATGTACTTAACAATGAAAAAAACCAGAAACCAATTAATAAAGGCCAGCAGATCTGAACTGATAATTCACCAATGAGATATCCAGCAGGCAAATAGATACATGGAAAAATGTTAATTATCATTTTTGATAAAGGAGATACAAGTCAAAATTGCAACAGATTATCACCTCACAGGAGAAGGGCACTTATTAAAAAGACATTAAAAGGGCCCTCCCTGGTGGTGCAGAGGGTTAAAGTACAGCGCTAAGAAGCTGAAGACACTTAAGCATGAGTTCAATCCCCAGCTCTGGAGGTGATCCACATGGCGTGGCAGATCTCTCCTGACCCACCCGCAGTGTACTTCGTCAATCAACCTATTTTATGCCCCACTCTGTCTCTGGTGAATCCTCTCACTGCCACTACACAACTAGCTTGTACCCCAGCTCTGTAAGCATAAAAAAATAAATCTTAAAAAAAAAAGGACCCCAACAAATGCTGGAGAAGATGCAGAGAAAGAGGACCCCATATGATCCAGCAATCACACATTTTCAAAAACACAAAACCATCAAATCAAAATCATATGTTCTATTCAGTACAACATTTGCTACATCATTCTCCATATTAGTTAAAACATGAAAAAAACAAACACCTAAGAGCCCACTAGTAGAGGCTTGGATAGAGAAGATATGGCATATCCACACAATGGAATACTACTCAACAGTAAGAAAAGATGAATGTACTTACTCACATAGAAATGCAAGGGGTTTTAAGGAATTATACACAGGAAGTCAGAATGACATAGACAAATAGTGAACATTTCTGTAGAGGGTAATTCAACAAAGCAACATGCTAATTAAAAACAAGCTGACAATAGGCCCTCCCTGGTGGCGCAGCGGGTTAAAGCACAGCACTGAGAAGCTTAAGCCACTTCCGCATGAGTTCGATTCCTGCCTGCCCTGAAGGAGATCCACATAGCATGGCAGACCTCTCCTGGCCCGCTCGTTGCTCCCCTCAGCAGTGTACTTCTTTGATCTGCCTGTTCTGCTCCCCTCTTTGTCTCTGGTGAGTAGTCTCACCCCCCACATCTCTGGCCTATTCCCCAGTTCTGTATGAATAAATAAATAAATCTTAAGAAAAAAAAAAAACTAGCTGACAATAAATGAAGTAAGGTTTCTGACATTAAAGAGGGAAGGTGAGGGAAAAAATGTTCCAAAGAATATAAAGGAAGCTAGTGTGGGAAAAAATACAGAGTGAAGATCCTCAGGATAAGCAGGTGCTTGCAAGGTTAACTGTAGAGGAATTAGATAATAACAGCTAAATGACACCAAAATTAATTATACAAATGAAAGTTCTGAGCTTTTCTTCTGCTGACCTGTCTGCTATAGTCTTCTCTTGATTTATAAGTGGGAGATTGCTTACCCAAATGTGGTTACAGTGAGGACCATATAAAAATATATATACTGAAAGGTTTTTCCACACCATGAAAAAGGAACTCTCTTACACTGCTGGTGGGAGTGCAAACTAGTCCAGCCACTATGGAAAGCTGTGTGGAGGTTCCTCAGTTTACTAACAATGGAGCTACCATTTGACCCAGCAATTCCACTCCTAGGGATCTACCGAAAGGACACAAAAACATGAGTTCAAAAGGATACACGTATGTCTATGTTTATTGTAGCACTATTTATAATAGATAAGACTAGGAAACAACCCCAATGCCCAAATGACTGGATCAGATGATCCAGACAGATGACTGGATCAAGAAGATCTGGTGTGTGTGTGCACACGCACACGTACGCACACACAAATGGAATACTATTCAGCAAAAAAAAAAAAAAGAATCTAACTCCATTCACAACAACATGAAAATAGAGTCAGAAGGGATTATGCCCTGTGAAATAAGTCAGGAAGAGAAATATCAGGATACCAACTAAAGGGTGGGGGGAAAATAATAATAATAATTAAAAAAATGCAACAAAACTTAACAAAAATAATCAGGCAATAAATCACAGACATTCTGCAGGGGAGGGAGGAAGGAGAGGGGAGAAAATGAGAGTGGGATGAGCACAAGGAAATAAGGTGATGGTGCACAGGTGAACTGGTGATGGATATTCTATGGAGACTGGTGACTATACCTGATGTAAATATATACAAATAAATTAAATGTTAAAAAAACAAGGCATTTCTGCATCAAATGTCATCAGGGAAAGACAAATTAAAAGAAACCTAATAGAATAAGCCAAACCAGAACACTAAGAACACCAAGTGCTGTTGAAGATGTAGAGTGACAAAAACTTATTGCTGATGATACCAAAATTATACAGACCCTTTAGTAGTCAGTTGGCAATTTCTTAGAAAACATTGTCTTTGCTCCCTGGTATTTACCTAAAAGGAGTTGAAAACTTGTGCCCACACAATGTGAAAGTAAATATGTACAGCAGTTCTATTTATAACTGCTGAAATTTTGAAGCAACAAAGGTGTCCTTTGTAGGAAAGTGGATAAATTATGGTATATCTAGGCAATGAAATTTTATTCAAGAGAAAAGAAATAATCAAGTTATGAAGACACATATGAGAAACCTAAATAGGTAACACTAAATGGTAGAAACCAGTCTGAAAAGCTACATACTGTACAATCCTAACCATAAGACATTCTGGAGAAGGAAAACTGTGGAGACAATAAAAACAGTCAAGATTTATCAGGGGCAGGGGCGATAGGAGAGAAATGAATAGGCAGAACAGAGAAGATATTTTGGTAGTGAAAATATTGTGTATGATACCATAATGATGGATGGATGCATATTATACATTTGTTATATTTTTTATAGTTGTGGGTATTATACAAACTACCACCACCACCAGAAGGGAGCCCCAATGGGAAGTATGGACTTTTAGGTGATGATGCAATGAATCTCAGTTATAATAAATGTATCGCTTTGGTGGAGGATGTTGATAATGGAGGAGGCTCTATAGGTATGTGGGGTAGAGTATATATGGGAAGTCTATGTACCTTCTACACAGTTTTTCTGAGAAGCTACAAATGCTCTAAAAAATAAAGTCTATTAATCAAAACCTGGGCTCTTCCTAGTGGAGCAATGGGTTAAGGCACTGAATTGTGAAGCTCTCTGAAGCCACTACAGCACGAGTTCAATCTCCTGCCAGGGAGCTGACCCACATGGTGTGGCAGACCTCTCCTGACCCGCCCGCTGCTCCCCTCAGCAGTATATTTCAGTACATCTGCATGTTCTCCTCCCCACTCTGTCTCTGGTAAATCTTCTCACTCACCACACCTCTGGCCCCAGTTTTGTAAGCATAAATAAATCAATCTTCAAAAAAAAAAATAAAAAAAACAAAACCCAAAAATTGCTCATAATAAGTGCTCAATAAATTGCAACTACTGTTACTAAAAGTTACATTAGAAATATCCTAAATTTTCACAAAAATGAAGTATTGTTACTATTATAATTATACTAATCACAAAGTCAGTTTCAACATTTATCCTGGTAAGACAAAAAGCACCCTTTCACATAGACAACCCTTGAAAATCCATGACATAATCCAAATGATTAAAAATCAACTATGTTAATTTTCAAAGTACCAAGTGACATGTGGAAATGCAAAAGAATTAAGGATTCAATCACAGCCCATTACTTAGCAAACGAAATTTTTACACTGTTATGGCCATTTTAAAAAAAACAAAAAAATTCAATTAAAAGAAAAGTGCATGCATCCTGATAGATGGTAAAAACAAAATTAAATATAATCACAGAATTATGTTGAAAATGATAAGGTTTCAGTAGAGATGGAATGCCTACCCATAAAGCAGTAATTTCTAGGAGGAAAATCAAAATCTATAAACATTCCCACTCCCTTTTTATTTACCTGGATGAGTCATGGTGACTGGCTCCTCTTTGGATTTATTATTGTAAATGACTACAGCAACTGCATTATGGAAAGCAGCCCGTGATATTTTCTCTTTAAATGTGCAATTTCCCCTCTGCAGCAAGGCGATCCACTGTTTGATATTCGGAGGGACAAGGAACCGGGTTTGTGGATCACAGCCTAGATGGTCAGCAACTAAAAAGAAAAGAAAAAAACCTACACATTAATTTTTTTCTCAAGTAGAAATAAATAAAATCAATCAAGTGTTTCTCTTATTACTATATACACTCTAAAGCACTTCAAGCACTTCACTGCCAGCAGAGCTGTGAATACATTCACAAAGGGTAATACAATGAACTGGAACCCCCATTCTAAGGGAGAAACAGCATTTAATTGTTACATATAGTGCAAAAATTCTCTTTCACTTTAAGAATGACAAAATGAAAGACTGAAAATGTCCAGTGTAGGTCAGAAGGTTAAAAAAAAAAACCAAAACCCCAGAACCCAGGTTACAGATGTATCCATGACTTCTGCTCTATCTTCTGACTTGTTCAACTTTCTACACCCTACTGCTACCACCACCACCAAATACCACCACAATGAGAAATGCCTGCAGTAAATGAGAAGCCACGCTAACCTTTGGTTCAGTTACCAAATGGTGCTGTTGAAATTCAATCATGTTTGAATAAATTTCTTAATAAATGCCTAAGGAAATTGTTCACTGCAAATATAAATAGTAAAGTAACACAAAACTAGAATATTCTTCTAATATACATTTATTGGTAAAAATTATTCTATAATCTGGCCCTCCCTGGTGGCGCAGCGGGTTAAAGCACAGCACTGAGAATCTAAACCCGCTTCCTCATGAGTTCGATTCCCGCCTGTCCCGGGGTGACCACATGGCACAGCAGACCTCTCCTGGCCCGCCCGCTGCTCCCCTCAGCAGTGTGCTTTGTCAATCTGCCTGCTCCCCACTCTGTCTCTGGTGAATCCTCTCACCCTCCCTATCTCTGGCCTGTACCCCACTTCTGTACAAATAAATAAATAAATCTTAAAAAAAAAATAAAAAAAAAATAAAATATGAGCAGTTAGGCGATATGTTTTGATAACCTCACACAATGTTTGGGGATAACTTCCACATACTGCATGCAAATATGGAGCAACCTAAGACTGGTTTTAAATGTTGAATTTGTTACTTTTCAAAACATGCTGCTACACAAATCCTGAAAGAAAATACAGAATCAAGAATATTAAAGAGATCTAAATTCCTGTCTTTTGCGAACATTCCTTTGGTTTTCTGAGACTTGGCCGAACAAAAACTTATTATCTGAGCAAGTGCTGAAAGTTCAGTTTTCTGATCTCTAATTTTTACAAATATAGAGACAGACAAAATTCTTGCCATGTTAAAAAAAATCTATTAATTAATTCTCTTTCCTTTAGTTTTATGGGTGTTATTCTATCATTTCCCAATGATCCAGTCTGGTGTCTTTAGGATTTTCTGTGCCATGTACATGAAATCCACCCACAGTACCCTTTCTACCTCACTCCCTGGCTCCCAAGTCTTTTCTCTTCAGCTGTTCTAACAAGTGTCACCATCCATGCAGAACAGGAGTTCGGTAATAGCCACAATGTCTAAGACTGAAAATACAGAGTTAGGGTGCAACTGTTAAGGGGAAGGATGTCCTAAAGGAACTCTGCAGTCTTATGGACTCCACCCCCTACTCCAGCTTTCTGTTATGGACTCCACCCCCTACTGCAGCTTTCTGGACCCTACACATTACTCCAGTGATTGAAAACTACAACTCCCAGCAGTACCAGGGAGAGAACTGCAGGACCCCAGGATGGAGCTAGCAGGCATGGATTCTGGGACATTTTTGGGAGGACAAATAGGGCACTGGCTCGGGCGCTAATGCTGTCTCTGTCTCTTGCTGGCTCTCTTGGGAAGCAGCTCTCGAGAACGCTGACTTGGTGTGTTCAGACAGCCTAGCTGTAAGGTATTGCAATTACTTTGTTTTTGTATCCCGATCTCTTTCCCTGTGTTGTTTCCTATTCCTCTCCCCTTTTTAAAATAAACCCATTATTGACCCTTTTGTGTGTACCTGCAGTTGTGAGCGCGTGGGTGAGGCCCCACAGACAGGCGGCCCAGTCCACTCTGGGCTACCCTGTAACACAACCACAGAACAAAACCTATACAACATTCTAAAGGGGAGCATGAAAATTCCACCCACTAAGAACAGATGCTATAATTAACAGCATACTCAAAACAAATGCCGACAGATTATATGAACAAAAGAATGTTCTTGGTTCTTCAATTTACCCAAATCACCAGCTATAAAGTCTCTGAAAATATTGATATTAATAAGAATATGCAACAATAAACAAAAATAAGATGTTCATGTTTTTGTTTAAGGAAGCAATTTTCATTTTTCACAGAAAGTGGTTTCATAATCAATTCCAATGTATACTTATTTTATCTAGTTATTCCTTCCTGTAATTAAACACACACAATGCAAATAATGCTAACATCTTTTTCTAAAACAACTTCCCAAAAGGAATGGTGACTAAGTAGCACTACTTCAAAATGTAATACCCAGGGGTTTATACTTGAAGCACCCTTTTTTTAAAGTGAAGACATAGTAATATGGCATAAAAGATCTATGTAAATACAAGCCATTAAAATTTGTCAAGGGCCCTCTCTGGAGGTGCCATGGGTTAAAATGAAGCACTATGAAGCTATCCATAGCCACTGCAGCACAAGTTTGATCCCTAGCCACAGAGGTGACCCACATGGTACCGCAGACCTCTCCTGACCCACCTGCTGCTCTCCTCAGCAGTGTACTTCGTTGATATGCCTCTTCTGCTCCCCACTACGTCTCTTGTGAATCCTCTCAGTCCCTGTATCTCTGGCCTGTACCCCAGTTCTTGTATGCATAAATAAATCTTTTTAAAAAATCATCAAAAGCAAATTTGTTCAAAATTATTTAACCTCCATTTTTCTTATTTGCCAAATTCAGAATTTACATTTTTGTTGTATGAGGAAAAATTTTAGAAATTACAATGAAAGTGTGAAATTTCAGATGCCAAATGTATTACTTTCCAATTTTATTGTCAATTAGACTTCAAAGTTGAAGAAATATATTACTAAAAACCTTTAATTTTTTGTATAACCTTTCTATTGAGTCCAAAAATACTAACAAGGCTTTTTTCTTTCTCCTTTGTAAGATACAACTAAATCTTAACAGAAACAGATGGAATCCTTTCCTCAATGAATATTAACTTATTCAACATACTAACCAGCAGAGAGAACTACAATGAACCAAACACCTTATTCTTAAATCTTTTATTTTTTTTTAAAAGATTTATTTGTTTATACATACAGAACTGGGGTACAGGCCAGAGGTGCAGGGATGGTAAGAAGATTCACCAGAGACAGAGTAGGGAGCAGAACAGGCAGATTGATGAAGTACACTGCTGAAGGGAGCAACATGCAAGACAGGAGATGTCTGCCATGTCATGTGGGTCACCTCCCTGGCCAGGGATGGAACTTGTGCTGGAGTGGCTGCAGCTCGTTTTACAGTGCTGTGTTTTAACCTGCTACACCACCAGGGAGGGCCTTTATTCTTAAATCTTGAAGAACCACTAAAAATACTGAGGAAGCATGTCTGTCACAGAAATTAAAATACCAGCAAGATACTATCAAGTGCCAATGTGAATAGTGTTTTATATGATCCAGCAATTCCATTCCTAGTTATCTACCAAAAGGACACAAAAACGTTAATTCAAAAGAACCCCTGCATCCTTATGCTGATTGGTGCACTATCTACAATAGGTACGTTATGGAAATAACCCAAATGTCCAAGAAGATATACTATATATACACTGTGGAATATCACTCAGCAATCAAAAAAGATCAATGTACGCCATTCATAGCAACATGGATGGAGCTGGAAGGGATCATGTTCAGCGAAATATGCCAGAAAGAAAAAGAAAACTACCAGATAGTTTCAGTTATAGGAGGAATGTAGGATATCCAAATAAGGGATCAGGGCAAAAAAAAGTAAGTAATTATAATAATAAAGTACAAATCAAAATCAATAGGCAACTATAAACCAGAGACATTCTGTGGGGATAGGGGAGGAGGGAGAAGGATCAAAATAGGGATGGGGAGAGCACAAGGGACTACTACAATGCTCATACGTGGGTTAATTGGTGGTGGGAATTTCATGGAGACTATACCCTAGATGATAAAGTATACATTGTATAAAATGAAGAATTATATAGAAAATATACAATGAAAAATAAAATCTAGAAGCAAAAAGAAAAAACCAATAGAAGTTACCTACTGGTGAGTATGAGGCTTTAAAGAGTAAGCATGGAAAGTACTTAGGACAATGACTGCTTGCTAGGCAGGAAGTACCCAATACATTTAAACTATAATGTTAAAAAAAATTAGGAAAACAGTAACATAATGGAGCACTTACATGGAATCTGTGAAAACTGCTAAGCAGAAAGGATGGGTGGTGCATAAGTGACTAAGAATATAGAAAAAAAAGAGTATGTGCTTCTCTTGAGTTTTAGATTGCCAAGTTCTGAAAAGATACTACTGCGATGGTAAAAGAAAAATACCCTAAGATGAAGAATATGTAAATATTTAAAGGGTTTATGAGGAAGTAAATAAGATACTCTACCCAAATGAGCAGCATGAAACTCTCCACCTTGATTCAGTGTACTACGTACTGTTCCTTCTAACAAGCAGTATTCACCCACACTACATGAGGATGATGGCAATGTTTCCTTCTACCCCTTGAAAAAAGTCAACCTACTAAGGTGTACAAGTCAAGAGACCGGCACATGGTGAAGGTTGCTGACTTCTCCAGGGGCCAGAGCAGTTGCCCCATTGAGCAGCTCAGTCTCAAGAGTCTGTATGTTTTGCTTCATCTACCTGAAATGTCATTCCCACCATTACTTGCTAATGACTTTCTAAACCTCAGGATCCCACTAAAGTATCTTCCTGGGATACCTTTCTGGCTTCTTTTCTTTAATCCATATGTCCATGGCATCTTGAGATTATGACTGTTTTAGCATTTCTCATATTGTAAGAGTAAGTCTCCTAGAGTGTGAGATTTAGCAGCTCTTCCTGTGTGTTTGGCATTCAGTTGACTCTTAGGTTATGGGACAAAGGGAGTAAG